TAGCGAAAATAAACTGCAAACAGTGTTCCTGTATTTAATGTAAATAAAACGTTACGTTGGATTGAGCCATAATTATCTATTAGAAACTTTTAGAGAACTTTTTAATTCGTGTTTTACTAAACTGTTGGATATAACTATAACAATTCCTGTATTTTTAAATGTGTCAGACTTTCGAGTAGAAGTGATGAAAGAACAATGGTGTTGAGAGTGTTGCGCCTTCTCCTTTTGTATGTGTAGCGTGTGTTATGTACCATACGCGAGTATGACCTTATCGCGAGCCGTTATACCCAAAAACCGTGGCTAACGAACGTTTAGTTCAGTACGAATATACAGGGTGTCCCAAAAATGTTGAAAATCCTTGAAAGAGGTGGTTCGGGAGGTGATTTGAAACAACTTTTTCCTTAGCGAAAATGTTGCCCGAGGCTTCGTTGAGGAGATATTAACGGAAAACACTGACCAATCAGAGCGCGCGTATACTGTTGGAAAGGTCGCAGTAGCGAATGAGCCCGGCCGCCTAGCGCGTAGCCACGCCTACCGCGGGCGGTACACCGGTATCCGCGCGCTCTGATTGGTCGGGGTTTTCTATTAATATCTCCTTAACGAAGCCTCGAACAACATTTTCGCTAAGGAAAAAGTTGTTTCAAATCACCTCCTGAACCACCCCGTTCAAGGTGTTACAACATTTTTGGGACACCCTATACACGTGGCTGTGAGCGAATGTTAACAAGCAGAAAGATAGATAGATAGATAGATAGATAGATAGATAGATAGATAGATAGATAGATAGATAGATAGATAGAGAGAGAGAGAGAGAGAGAGAGAGAGAGAGCGTATGATTAATTTTACAAGTCTGTATTAATAAAATACAAATTCAAAGGATCTAACTGACTCTTAAACACCAAAACCATAACAAATGGTATGAGTGGAAAAGTCTTCGCGAACATTACCGAAGAAATTGCGCGCAAATTGTACACTTCAACAATTTGTTACACACACAATAATATAACATATATATAATACATTGTACAATTTGTACACACATAATAATTATTACTTGTTACTATTATTATGTAATGATCTAATATAATTAATGTATCGGTTTCAAAAGTTTAGTAAAAAAACTAATAAGCAGTTATAGTACAGCTCAGTATAAGATAATGTTAAGTTTATTCAATTACACAAAATCAGTTATCAATCGTAATAAATAATAATGAACACTGTGATTCACTTGAAACAGAAACTAAATGGACTATAATGATCATTCGACTCGTTCAATAAGTGACTAATCGCTTGACAAAGTTTCATTTTCCCAATGGACTTACGATTGACGCAAAATGATAAGGTGCACGATAACAACTGACTTAAACGCTTTACTGCAACGCTTGCAATTACGAAAAAGGAATTTCATTCCTCGAAAGGAAGTAAAAGCGAAAGCATCGAGCTTGGTTGGAAACAAATCACTCGATACAGTATACATGTATGTACAGGAAGTCTCTCTATGGGAGACATATTGATTGAACAATCAGTATACATATACCGTGCGCGAGAAAATGATAAGCTGCCAAACGTTTCTGTTTATATGTAGATATATGCAGTGAATTACACAATTATTCGCTCAGTCGAAAAATGTAAAAGAACGAATGACATAACAAGTAAATAGAGAGCATTTTAGAATTTTTTCATTGGGAAACACATAGTCCACAGTTCAATATGGCAGAATCGCTCAAATAATTGAAAAGACTATTATTAAATAATATAATTCTTTATACGTCTTCACATCACAAAATTATTCGCTTATTTTGTACAAACCAGTGTTGACAAATCTTTTTGAAGTCGATCTCATTACTGTTTTTAAGCAATTGATGTCCATTTTTTATCATTCTTTTAGTAATGTATTTTGCAACTCGATTTTGCTTATAATAGAATGTTTACGTATTTTAATATCATGAAGAATATATCGCACTGTCAAATAACTTTTGTGAAAAACATTTTTCTGATATTTTCAACATGTCGTGAGATATTTAACCATTCCGGTTTAAACAAAACATCCTGTATATTTACTAGTAGTTTTTGTATGTATAGCAATATATTTCGTAAGTTTATTCCAATAACATATCAATTATAATTAGATTGCAGATGTTTATGCTTTTATGATAAATGAAATTATTGGGAAATTATGAGAATGTGCACAAATGAAAGAATATATAAAATATCAATAATAATACAGGGTGTCTCAAAAATGTTGGAGGTCCTTGAAAAGGGTGGTTCAGGGGGTGATTTGAAACAACTTTTTCCTTAGCAAAATTGTTGTCCGAGGCTTCGTTGAGGAGATATTAACGGAAAACACTGACCAATCGGAGCGCGCGGATACCGATGGAGCGGCCGCGATAGCGATGGCTACGCGCTAGGTAGCCGCTCTCGTACGCGAACAAGTGACTCGACGTGCATCGTAGGATATTGACGCGGCCGCTCAGCGCGTAGCCTTCGCTACCGCGGCCGCTCCAACGGTATCCGCGCGCTCTGATTGGTCAGTGCTTTCCGTTAATATCTTCTCAACGAAGCCCCATCCGACATTTTTGCAAAGGAAAAAGTTGTTTCAAATCACCTCCCGAACCACACCTTTCGAGGATCTCCAACATTTTTGGGACACCCTGTATACATACTATACTGTTCAGATTATAATACACACATTCACTTGGCTTGCAATTCTTTTCCTGTGCCTATAAAAATATTAATGTGCATAAATATTTGCAGTATAATTATAATGAATTATACTTTTCGTCCATACTCTTTTTAAAGTTTCGTAAACTCTAAAAAAAACTATTAAAATTCTCAATTTTTATAAACGATTATTGTATCTTGATATGATTTTTGTACATTCAGAATGTTAATTTTAATTCAAATAATTGTAAATTTTAAGATGACTCGAATTCAGTGTCAAAATGTTATAAACGACGTTTACGTCGATATTGGCATTAATTTGTTTTTATTCCGATATAAAACTCAGACAAACTTTGATATAAACTGAACACTCAACAAAAATATGTAGTACAGCATTACATTCGCAGTCGTTCGTTCACCTCCAATTGCCTGGAAGCGTAGTGTCCTAATTGTTGCGAACAGCCGAAGACATTCCAAAAATCAGTAAGTATCGAAGAATGAATATAACACAAACACCTTCGGATAAATTTGCCACGTTGAAAGATAACCTCATATTAGTCACTATCTTCCGATAACAGTGATGCGGACTTATTCAGTGAGGTCATAGCCGAGAACAGAAGTCATTATGCATTGCCCGAAATGGAAGAACAATGTTAACGATTACGATATCTACTCCTTCCTCAAGATGCATCGTCTATTAATCGCGGCGAATTAATCGATTTGTTTCAATACGAACGTCCAACAACATTAACGTATTTTTATAATCAGGTTTTGCAAATTAAATGTTTCTTTCACACAAAAGTGTGTAAATGTTTACATTCTCAATTGTATTCATTTCTTTTGTTCGTGACCATTTCTCTATATTAATTATTACTAGTAACCTTGGATTAATCGTGGAAGCCTATTTTTGAAATGCGTTTTTTTTCGAAAAAAAAACCCTCTTCTCTGTTTAAAGAAAAAATTTCTTTAAGGAGTACACTCCAAATTTGTGATAATAACAGACTGTTATTAATACACCGCACTGGAGAGTATTTATTAAAAACGTTCGATATGATATTTTATCATGTATTTTAAATATATCATACAATTATTTGCACAAGAGAGAATATGTAGATAACAGAGATAGACGGATCCCAATAATGGATGACGAATGAAACCAACGTAAAACCGACGTTTATCGGGTTGGACAATTTATCTATTTATCTGTTCGTTAATACGGATCAAATCAACGATACCAATTAATTTCATGCCATTGCAAAACATTTAACTATATAACTAAAAATCTAATTTTTATTTAACTAGTAACAAATAAAACGTATTCACATTTCATTCGGTGTCAGAAATTTCTAGACACGAATTTTGCCCATCATTGGTGGACAATTGCCATACGTTCGATAACGTTAGTCAACGTAAACATTACGAAGAACCCGTGATTTTCGTTATGCGTTATGTTGCATTGACAGTTTCATTTTTCACAACGCGTATCTCGTAACGAAATTAGAAGGAAGGGTCACTGTCTATTAGTGAAAACTAGATCACACCCGTGCAGTCTGCCGACCGGTCATTAGACGCCTTTGCTACCTTTCGACCGTTTCTAGCAACTTTCGCGAATTTTCGATGAATACCAATCGATGAAACGATTTTTGAAACAGTCTTTTGCATTCAGCAAGAAATTAAAATTTCAATTAACTTTCAATAAACGAAGCAATTCGAAAAGAGGTGAGTACCAACTTTCCCCAAGGAGGAAATAATTTTAAAAATGTTGTTAATTTCTATTTCAAACACGTCAGCAAAACAGTCATTTTCAACATTAAACAAGTTAAAGCTCAAAATATTAAAATATCATCTGTACAAGAAAAGTGCAAATCGTGTTTAGTGAACAGGTATCTCGTGACAAAAAGTAGTACAAATATTTATTAAACCAGGTGTAGATTTCTAAATTATTGTTTTGAATTAGATGGTCTACTTGTCTTCTCGGTAAAATGGAGTTTAATTAAAAATTATTCCGATTTATAAAGATAAGAATTTGAATAACAAAATTCCTATGGGTGAACTATTGCGAATCAACTATTATAATGATATGAACGAGTGTATAAAGTGTGTTCGTATTATTTAAACGGGATCCTCAATTTAGTATCGGACCCTATGAAGTACGAATGCGTCACCGAGTCTATGCATACCATATGAAAGATATACACATATACAGCGTCCTGGAGAAACCTAACCTCACTTTCATCCTCTCGATGTAACACAAAAAAAAGGCGGTCCTCGCGCGTCTTACAGCATTGCAAGATGTTCAATTGAACGAAATAAATAAAAAATGTACAGCGGAAACTTACGGTTCTAGGATGACCGGTGCAATCTTAAGTATCGTCGCAAGAAAGTTTTGATCCTGACAGACGAGCAACGGTTTCTGCGGTGCACTGTTTACGTTCAATATCCTGAACAGGATGCATAGGATTACGGCAAACACGGCAAGAAGAGCCGTGGACATTTTTCCTTACACCTCGTGTATCGCGACTGACTCTATTTTACTCGTGTGTCTTTCACGTGCCGCGACTACGGAATCGATTAGCAAAAGCGAGCGTAGAACTGCACAAAGTGATGTCTGTACACGCGAGAATTACGAAGGAGGTTCCAGTATGCCTCTTGCAAAGGCTCAGAAGCGCGACGTATTCGTGACTGAGACTGTGCGCGACTATTTCGCGTTTGTTTTACCGGCAATTCTTGACGGTCGATTTGCGCGTGCCTATCAATAGTTAAGTTCGCGGAACCTCCATCTGTCCGCGCCGCTCGAAATTTCAATACAAATGGAGAAAGGAGTACATATACATGTATATGTGTATATATGTATGTGCATATATGTATAGAAATAGATATATAAACGAGCACACGATTAGAGGTGAAGTTCTTATATTCAGAGAGGGGCCAAATTTGAATCTAAATACAGACAGGGCCGGCTACATAATTTGCGAGACCCAATGCAAAAAGATGTGCGGGTCCCTTGTCCAAAAAGCAGGAATCAAGTGACACGTTATTGGCAGATTAATATACAGGCTGTCCCAAAAATGTTGCAACACCTTGAAAGGGATGGTTCGGGATAGTGATTTGAAACAACTTTTTCCTTAGCGAAAATGTTGTCCGAGTCTTCGTTGAGGAGATATTAACGGAAAACACTGACCAATCAGAGCGCGAGTATGCCGATGGAGCACTCGCGGTAGCGTATGAGCGCGGCCGCTTAGCGCATAGTCTTCGTACCACGGCCGCTCCATCGGTATAACCGCGCTCTGATTGGTCGGGGTTTTCTGTTAATATCTCCTCAACAAAGCCTGTTACTAACTTAATGTTCAATCTATATAATTGAAAGCGACGTCAGTCGTTCGTGACAAATGTAAGATTGCAAATAATTATGTATAATGTTCAATTTTGGATAAGATTTCTCTGCTGATGCAACTCTTACTGGAATTGTTGAGAGTATTTTATAGTCTGTAACAATATTTGGATAAATTCTTGATAATATTATTCTTAAATATAAATTGTAGTACATCGTATGATTTGAATACAACATTTGGAATAACGAAGGAAAGGTAGACGTCTTTTAATTCATTATTCGTTCAATAAGAATTACAATGCATTTATGAGGAGAGAAGCAATTTATACAATATAAATAAGAATGAAAGAAAAAAATTAATTTTTTAATTTTTCTAGATGTCTACAAACAATTCAAATTTCCTATATAACGCGTGTAATATTTCCAGTGAAATCTTCTTTCGTTTATCGTAATTGCATTACGTACTAGTAATTGATGGGTTCGCAGGAAAACTGGGACTTCGAACTTTAATTTAATTCCGACGAAAGTATACCATGTCATATCGCGGAAACAGTTGCGTGTATACGTATACGCGCATGTATACTTCCTGATTCCCTCTTACTTAACTTCCTTTGACTTGCGACAAATGAAATTGGAATTATCGATTTAATATCGAAACGTAGCAACGATTATTGAAATAACGGACTACAGCGACAACGATGCGAATATAAACGAGACGAATTTCACACATTCTTCTCGTTCTACGACGTTCATAAGTAATTCTAAATTTTATGCTTGGATAGCGCATAATTTAAATATAAAAAAGTTTCCTTCCACGAATAAATCCATAATAAAGGTTTTGTAATTAAAAATATAAAAATGCGGGGAAAGAACAAAAAAAGAAACGTCAAAAATAAGGGTAGAAATGGGAAAGACGGTAAAAATAATAATGGTACTAAAAGCAAAGGAACAAAAAGGTCAAGAAAAAGTGGAGGAAGGGCGAAATTTTCTATGGATATTTTCAATGAGGAGGTAATGGAAAATGCTTACTACACTTGCCATAATATTATGGATGTATTGAAATGCAGAGGGTTTCCTTGGCCAGAGGCTCAAAAAAAGAAAAAGAAGAAGGGAAGGAAGTGACTCAAACTTTCAAAATAATTCAGATACTATAGTGACAATGTGTTGACAAAATATATAGTCTTATGTGATTAATTGCATTTCAAACATTTTAAAAAAATACATAAACTATGCTTTGCATAACCATGTAACATTATTGTACATGTTTTGCCATTGTACTGTACTTAGACATAATAAACATCTTTAATGGTTAATCGTCGTCTTCGTTTTCTTTCTCCATTGTTTTTGACACATGCTTGCAATACTCTTTCATATCAAATTCTGTGTGACTAATCATAAATGGACCATTAAACACACAATGCACTGTTACAGTTTCCGAGTATTTTAGGTTGGGTAGTAGCTAAATAAAAATAAAATAGATATAATAGTTGTAATTATATTTGCGCAAAAATAACATATCGAATGTATACTAACTTTGGGTGTGAGTAAGAAATATTGAGAACTGTTTGGTCTTCCAGTCATTTGTACAAGTAAATTAAATACCCGTCTTTCATTCGCAGCATCCATTCCCTGGAAAAGATCAACTATTTAGAACAATCACAATCGCAATAGTTATCAAGTTATGAAAATTCACAGATGCGCGATTATAAAAATAAACACATTAATATGATTTAGCTTATACGAAAAGTTCTAGAACGCGCAAGCCGCTTAAGTCGAGGATACTTCTTTAAAAAATTACTTGATTAATTTCATCTACGCATCGAAAAGGTACTCTTGAGAGTTCTTGAAGTGAAATCATATAAATTGCAGTGGTTACAGCTCTTTCTCCACCGCTTTGGTGATTTCTTGTTAGCTCCTGTAACTGATCGGTATCTCTAAATTTCACCATGATTTTTAGGCCATATTTATCAAAGTCCATCTACGAATATGCATTAATCTCTGTATAACTTTTTAAATAATACATATATAACTTAGTTTCACTTCAGGGTAATTGAACATACGATATTTTCTGGTTGTACTAGTATAACTTCGCCTGCACAACCCATTGCTGAAAAATATGAGCTAAAGTTTGAATTTATTTTTTCTACAATTATCGACAATGGTTGTAACCATTTTTCTCGTAATGTTTGGACCCGTTGTGTTAATGTTTCTATCTCGCCTGTCTTTTTCTGAATAAATTCCTTCAATTCACAAATTTCTGTTTCTACTTTCTCATATTCGTGCAACGTCTGAAATGAAAATACGTAATTGACCATCAAATTAACGATTTACTAAATTCATAATTAGCTCGGATGTTTATAATACTTACACTTTCGCCATCAACATTATTACCCATACAAAAAACTTTTGCTTGAGCAGTGTGCAATTCGTTATTAATTTCCTCAACAGTAGGTGGTAATTTAGAAAAAGCTTTGTTTATTGCCGTAAATTTTTTGTCGGATGGTCCAATACCATTAGTAATTTCTAATGCTTCGTTGTACATTCTTTGCACTTCGTGTAACATAGGATTTATTTCTGATGTAAGTTGTCTTACTCTGTTTTCTGCTTCTTTAAGTTTTTCTCTTAAATCTTGAGATTTGTTTACTTTCATTCTCAAAAATCGATTTTGCAGTTTTAATGCCAATTGAATTTGTTCATTGTCTATAATATACTTAAAACATGCTTCTAATTCATTATTATACGTTTCATAAACGTTCAATTGTTTATTCAAAATCACCTAAAACAGTTATATTTAAGTATTTATATCTTTAAACCAAAACTAATACGTATAAATGTTATATACGAAAATAATGAAACCTTTATATCATTAGTACTGGATTCTCTTATTTTATCAATACTGGTTCGTTCCTTTTGTAAATTTTCAATTTTTTTCTCAATCATAGATATTCTAGATTTTAGAGCTTCTATTTGTTGAAGATTCTTATGAATTTCACTTCTACTAGCCCTATATCTATCTAATTCCTTGTTTTGTTCACATATCTGTTTCTCGATTTGCTCTATTTTTTTGAAAACGCTATTTTTTCTTTCTCGTAATGATTTTAACCTAAAAATACATTTTGATTATGATATTATCAATAAATGTAACACCATCGTTTTAGCATGAAAAGATATCAACGAACTTTTCTTCAATCTTTAATAATTTAGATTTATCTAACACAATAGATAACATTCCTGTACTTGATACTACGTGTATTCCAATTGATTTTTGTCCCGTATATTTAGACTTACTGAGCGAATAAGACTTTGTTTCTGAAAAAATAAAGAGAAGATATGTCAGTTAATTTAATTAACTGTTACAGCAATATAGAATTAGAAATATATAATCATTTTACTTACTGCTAAAATATCTATTTATATTAGAAGGTATGTGATCTATATTCTCATCAACAAGACTTGTTCCTACAGGTATATTATGTAAATTATAGAAGTTTACTAAATACTTCATAATAGTGGTTGGTGCTTCGATTAGTGATACTAAATAATGAGTAAAACCAAAGCATTTAATATTTTCTAAAGGAACTGTTGGTACCATGGAAACCACTCTTGTAGGATCAGAGTGTATAACATTTACTTGTAATTTCTGCACATCTCTCAAATGGTGTAATAACATGTTCATGTCTTGTTTATTTTCACAAACAAATGCAATTAATTCTCGAAATGGGATAATATTTTCCAAATATTTCGCGTATTGAACATCTTTTACATTTATGTTAAGTAGTATTGGTTCATGCACTATTCCAGAGAATTTATCATGGTTCTCTCTTAACCATTCTACTGCTCTATATGTATCCATACTTTTTTCTCTTAGAAGTTGTAATCGCTTAGCTTCGATATTAAGAACTTGCCGTTCAGTTTCTTGAGCTATAAATTTGATATTGTTATGCAGTTTATAATTGAATTTTGAATCAACATTGTAAGTGCAGTATACTCATAGATAGATACTGGTACATTTTATCACATTTTTTAAATATTTAGTAAAGTCCAATCGTAATACGCATTATTCATTCTATGTGAAATAAAAAATTCACCTCTGATCTCTAGATTTATGCGATCCTCTTCTTGTTTGAGCGCTGCATTTTTATTTGTTAACATAGCAATCATACTCCTTTGCTCTTCTATCTTGGTGAATAGGTCCTGCTTCCTTTTTAAAGCTTCCTCTATAAAATATAATGACTTCAGAAATTCCCATATCATGTGAAGGTATTACGATCAAAATTAAAACATGCAACTAACCACATTCAATATCTTTCAAAATGGCAGATAAATCATTGTCTAGTTTGTTTTTTTGTTGTTCTGCTACATTAATATCATGGTCTCTGGCTTCTTCAGTTTGTATTCTCTGTTTGCACGTATTTTCACACTCTTTGATATTATTTTCACAGTCCAAAATATCGTCCATCATCCTTTTGAGTTTTATAGTTTTCATACTAACTTTATTTTTCTGAAATTATACATCATTTAGGATATTTATTATGTCTATAAGTTATATGCAAGTTTAATCTAAAATATATAAACTCACATGATCTGCTACAGAATTCTGAAGTACTTCAATTTCTGATTTGGTTTTATTTATTAAATCATTAGTAGGTTGCATTTCTGCTTCTAAAGATGCCATTTCTGCTACTGCCTTTTTCTTTCTACCTTGTAGCTATAAGATATGTATTTATCAAAATATTATGTAATTAAAAACTGAAAACAGTATACAAGTTTTTATAACTTGTTGAAAAATTTAGTAGTTTTACCTCATGTAACTCTTTACGCTTCTGATCATACAGTATCCATGCCTTTTTCTGTTTCAAAGTAACAATTTTCCTTTTTATTAATTTTCTTTCCTTTATACTACTAACAGTTTCTTTCAAGCCTTCATATATCTGAGTTTTCAATGTCAATAATTTTTGTTTACTTGCTATCTGTACTTCTGTATCTTTATGATCTGATCTGTACTGTATTAACTGTTTATGATGTTCGAGAATTATTGGATCACCAACCGATCTTTCTGTGTTTTCTAACAACTCTTGCGAATTCATTTTTGAAAACTCTTGCACTTTGTCTTGAGGAAGAAACTGACAAAGATTATCTATCTGAAAATGAAAATAAATTATTAAATTTTAAGTTAGATTTATAGAGATCAAGCTTAAATACCTGAATATCAAAATTTCTTGTTAAATCTTGTATCTCTTTAATGTTTGATTGATTTTTATCAAGCAACCAAGATGATTTTCCCTGTGTATTAAACGTTCTACAGATAACAACATTTCTGTTTTTGTCATTCTTAAGATGGATTTCAATTTTTGCTTCATTGCAACCTGCTTTTACATAGTCCCCAACTTGAGATGAACGTCCAATGGTAGTAGGTTTGCCACCCAATCCAAGAACAATCGCGCAAACAATTGTTGATTTTCCTGTGCCATTGGGTCCGATAATTACATTTAAATTTCTGCCAGGTTTTACAATGACTTTACTGTACGTTCTGTAACAAAATAAACATATCTAGTACGTTTATCTATTTACTGCTATTATAGAAATCAATAAAAGTATAAAAATGTAATACTAACACAAAATTTTCTAGATAAATGTAAGTAATTATTCCTTTATCGATGTTGCTGTTGCTCATGGTAAAGTTTTGTTTAATGCCTTTAAATACATCAAAGTTATTTCATTATGTGGGATCAGTATACTTAAATAATAGTAATTAGGTATTTTGTAGAAATAGTGTATGAAATAACATAATATAATAATAATTACATCTAACCGATGTCACCGTATCAACTGCACTATTTTCGATTTCTTGAAGTTACATGAGATGAGACTTTGATGGGAGCATGTAAACATAACTGAACGTAACCTATCCGACAAGATAAACAACTGTTGCAACTGTTGCAAGAGGCCATAGACTCGGCCATATCCGAGTTGACTTCAGCGACAGTTGCGGAAAAAGTAGGAAACTCCGGGGCAAGGACAGAGAGGGCGATACAACAATTGCAGGAGAGACGAGGACAGGGCGATTAGGCTAGCATGATTTTTTTTCCAGGATATTGAAGCAAAGAAGCAATATTTTCTAATAATTCTGATTTTAATATATTCGTTACACTTTAACGGATGCGACTCCAAGGTCTGATTTTCCAATTTCGCCCTAAAAACTTTATAAACAATAAAATGAAGATAGCAAACGTACTTTTGTTTCAGATATAATTAATTTTTGTTATTGAAACTTTTTTCACATATAGAGGGACGTTCAAAGAAGACAATTTGACAGTGTAGATTTAATTTGAATGTATACATATATAGACATAGTAATCGCAAGGAAAGAATTCGGTCGAAACGGTGGGACGCGTAGCTCATCGAATTTTTATCCGATTCACTTGATGCAATGCTTAAATTGAAGGTAATTAAGTTTATATACTAATCAACCTCGACTCTTAATGAATTATTATTATAGCATAAAGTCATTGCAAAATAACGGTCGACATGTATCTTTCATTTTCATGCTTTTTGCCGCCATTTTTGCAATTAACAATTCTATTTTTTTTTTTTTTTTTGCAAATTGAGGTTCATACGCATTTTACGTACCTACCAGAGAAAAAATTTTTTGATTTTACCTATCAGATGTTTTCCCAGTGCTCCACGTATCCCACCGTCTCGACCGAATCCTTTCCTTGCCTAAACAGGCGATAAGACTAAATAAGTTGATAAAATGATCAACATCGAATCGACTATAACGATAAATTCTAATCTAGATAATGTCGTCGTTATTGCATCGTCTGCATGTTGCCAATGTTATAGGTACGGTTTGTTGCAATCGTGCGGGACCTTGACGATCAAATTATGATAAAAGGAAAATGTTTCCCCCATCAACGAGTGGCATTCTACCTCGTTTCAGATCGATGTACACCCACATAAAAATGATTAAATATCATTGCTTTACGTTATACGTCGACAGAATGGTCGTATTATAACGCCAATAAATTATTTTCCATTCGAGGTCTACCTGTAACAACCAACTTTCTGGCAGTCTTCAACTTCCCGGTGATCGGAACTATTTAATACGAAAGTAAGTCTCTAAATAGAGCGTAATTCGCGCCCGTGAAATTAAAGTTATTTTATGTTTATATATTAAGAGGTGTCTTTGTGGTGTAAGTACGGAAAAATTAAGCATACTTAGGGAATTGTTTTCGATTCTATAAAACAAAGAACGATTCAAACGGTTTTGCTACTAATAAAACTAATTCAGAAATAGCATAAAAATATTTTTGTACGAATTTTATAAAATTCATTCATTGATTTACGTTAACGTTAAATTAGCTTCCTTTGATGTCGGTATCTTCGTGGTTGTCAAAAGATTCTTAAGAAATTCAAATGGTTTATTAAGTTATAGAAGTGTGGTTGTCGTGTGAAGCAGAATACACCATGTAAGTAAAAACTGAAGAAAATGACGCTTGTTTACTATTTTACTATTTTTTTTTTTTTTTTTTTTTTTTTGTACTCTATGTATTCTAGACATTTGAGAAATATGTAGAATGTCATTGTTTATAAAAGAAATAAGTTAATAAATTACAATTTTACATGGTTTCTTTTTGTAAATTTTGTAAATCGGTGTACCAATACATTCTACACCCACTGTATCTCATATTGTCAACCGTATTTCCATTGTCGAATCCTTAATTGCAATAGAGATAACATGATTCGTAATCTTTGTAAAATCGTACTTTATCCTCCTCATGCAACAGATGTTTTCCTCGACGAACCAATGATTCAACCCTTATTAATTATATTCAAGTTTCTAAAATCTCATGGCTTATCGTCGTAAATCACATACCGTTTCTAGTATACTAACACGTATACCGTGCTTATATAGTAATTGTATCTAAGTTTAAGTTTTGTGTAACGCTACAATGTACCCAAGTTCAAGTTTGTTCAATTCTGTAATATGTACTGATTGATTTAATTTACAATGTATTTGTCAATATGCTCAGGAACGAGCATATTGCTAATAATCCCGTAAGGGGTTAAATAGCGTAATAGATAAATAAAAAAAGACCGCATTCCCATAAAACCAGAGCCACCGGCTTCGACATTTCAAATTCAGTGGCCTGGCAATCGAAAACAATTCCCCAAGTATACCTAGTCAGATTTTTCACCAAAGGACGTCTCCGTGTTCTTTGTTTCAGAGGAAAACAGTCACCGAATGTCTGGTCGATCGAGAAAGGCGAAAAATTCCGCAGAACGGAAACTATGGAAACTACCGTGGGCCTTAAATTTGAGAACGTTGATACATTTTTATGTCGTGTTCGTTCGCGCGTTTGGATATATGCCTTATAAGATCGAGTCATCGAGGTACGTGTTCTCCCGGCCACAACTTGCTTGGACCGCAATCATGATAATATTACAAACGTGCGCAGTACTGTACAGCATTTATGAGATCAATTACACCGACAAAAGCATCGAATACACCTCCATGATAATGCATTACAACATCATTCTGTCTCTGGGTCTCATAAACGTATTTTCGGGTTTTGCTTCGTGTCGATCGAAGATACATACGCTCCAAAGAGTGTCGTGTTTAGCTCGAAAATTGCCATCGCAAACTTTGGGCAACGCGGTTCAATGGACGATAATAAACGACACGATAAAACTCATTCCGATGATCATCTTCATGCAGTTCATCATAGATACGAAAGTAATTTTCATTGTCGTTGCTTGGTTCATGTTTATTTTGACCATGCTATTCAACTCGTTGTACGTGATCAACGTACGGGTGGTGAACGCATGTTTCTGACACATAAACCAGTCTCTTGTGAAAGTGAGAGATGTTCTCCTGAAAGACGAGCCCCATCTTCTAAGGAGGGTGTACCACACGCAAAGGAATCCCGTGTTGCTAACGGAACTGAGAACCCTCAAAAGACAGCATTTAGAAGTCAGCGAGGTTGTCCAGCTTATAAACGAAACGTTCAGCTTGGAGGTGATCGGCAATATTGCGTTGACGTTGGTCGATACCACTTTTAACTTATACTTTTGTTTATTGCTGATGACCGACACTAATCCAATCAATATGTCGTGGTTTATTGAGCTGGTGTACGTGACTTTCTATGTTTGGAACTTGATTGCGATGGTATGGGTCTGCGAGTCTGCCACCGACCAAGCTAAGGAGATTGGTTCCAACATTCACCGAACCCTCGTAATCACTTTCGACGAACAAGTCTCTACCGAAGTAAGACGAAAGAATTGGATCGGATCAAAATCGGTTAGAAATTAGCGGCGAATCGACTTTGATCCGACTGTGACGCATAACAAGCATGACTTTCATTAATCTCTCCTTTTCGAATACACAGTTGGAGATGTTTTCTGTACAAGTTTTGCAACAAGACAACACGTTCTCGGCGAAAGGGCTCACGACAGACGCAACCCTTCTAACAAAGGTAAATCAAGAGTACCTTGTCATCAGAGCTGGGTAAAATACGTATTTTAAATAATAAACGGTAAATAAATATTTTATTTCGGATCATGCAAGTATTTTTAAAAATAAAATATTTTATTTGTTATAAAAAACGTTTAAGGTGATGTTTCAAATAATATTTTATTTCAAAAAAAAAAAAAAAAAAAGAAGAACTGAAAATATTAGTGCCATAGCTCGGAATATTTTATTTATTTAATTTATTATCAGCAAATAAAATATTATTATTTTACTAAATTATAGTGTAAAATATATTTATTTTGGTAATGTAAAACGAACGAAGTACTTTTCCTCTGGATTATAAACATACATTCAATGTAGTTCTTCAATGAATACTTCTATTAAGAATCTTCAATAAGAATCTTCATGAAATGAGTGACGGAAAGAGATATTCTTCAATCGCGAGAAACAGTTTCTTCATCTGTGTATCATATATAGGCAGTTTATTTTCAGGTTAACAGCTATGGAAAGTGTTCTATTTTATGTGTTAGATTATCAAAATAAAATATTTATTTTCGTGCTTTAACTATAGATTACCAAAATAAATTATTTCATTTTACGTTTTACATTACCAAAATAAAATATTTTATTTGCTGAAATTTTATATCCCATTTGAAATGCTATTTTATTTGAATTCCGAAGAATCTATTATTTAAAATAGTATTTAAAATATTTTCTCCGCAAATATTACCCACCTCTGCTTATCGTTCGCCATTGTCGCGGTTTTGCATAGTACGTTTATTTACAGGTAGCGAGCACTGTCACAACCTATCTGTTGATATTGATACAATTTCTATTGATAAAACCTTGTTGAAGGAATGCTCGTGATTTGCGCGCTAAGGAACTCGACCAGGTTGGACTCAAAAGTTGTTGTTAATTAATCGATTTACCTATTATTATTGCGAGCAATTAGTGTTATAATAATAACTCGGTAACGTTCGGATACTTTTGTGGCGTCCGTTCGGTAGATTTTACTAAAAATGTTTTGCAAGACATTCGAAATGTAACACGCATAAATATCATAATGATATGTTATAATAGAAATCCGTAATATGACGCACATTTATTAAGCGAAAAACCTTTCGTTTCATTCTCTTCGGCTTTCGTCGTTAGTGAGAGATTATCTTTTCTTATACGATCAAGAACATAAAAATGATAGCGATAATAATGAAAAGGATGCTGCCTGGAAGGAAACAGGAGAAATAGGAGAAATAAACGCAAAACGACGTTTTCTTTTCTTGTTTTCTTCCTCTTCATCCAATAACAATGCTACACAGCACAGATTTTATCATAATTTTATTATATAGAATAATATAGAAAATATACATAAGATATGTTGAATATACAGGGTGTCCCAAAACTCGGGGAGGAACCGAAAATGGGGGGTAGCTGAGACGATTCTGAACAACAATTTCCTTTGCAA